GATATTTATAGAGAAATCTTTGGTCAAGAGAAACAATACACTGATACAGAAAAGAAAGAGGATTTGATCAAAGACGAAATCAAAGTCATCGTCCCAAACTCAAACCAGGGAGCCAAATGCACACCCACACATGAAGCCAAAGATCAAGAAGTAGCCAAATCTGAGCCAACAAACATAAGCAATGAACAAAACCTAAACCTTGAGGCACACCCAGAAGATTCTTGGACGACCACAACGCGGCTTTAGAAGCACCTTAACCAGCAAACAGATAAAGCGGACTAGAACGCAGGAGAAAAGGCAACATAGCAAAGAATCAACGATCAAGTAACCTGACTATAGACACCGAGAAAACAGAGACGACAGCGACGCCAAAGCAATAATAATCTGACCGTCGAGTCCAAACCAAGCTCTGCAACCAAACAAACGCATAGACCACTATAATCGCCTGGGACAAAAACTACCACATCTCTTCGACCAAAAGAACCCTCACTCATACACAACTTACCCAAGCTGGTGGAATTATAAATAAACACTTAAAGCGAAAGCTTTAAACCAAAGAGGATATATCATATCGAGATCCAGAATCACAAACTAGAAACTCCGAGACAACACAAGTCATCATGCGCCAAGCCCAGGACAAACTGAATCTCAAGAGCAACACCCAAACAAAGGAAATCGGAGGGAGAACAACCTGCAAAGATGATCAAAAGCAAGATAGATCCACGATACAGCCTCAATCCTCGACGAGGACCAAAGCCCAACCCATATCAGTTTGGTGACAGCACCAAAGAACACTGGCCATCACTTCCTTTAAAAACCCCTTCCGTGCATGACCACCTCCACAACCGAGTCCTAATCAGAGCCTAACACTCAATCTTCACCGAGCCAGAAGAGCTAGAGTAGATCCAAAATCAAAGATTGAAGTCCACCTACACGGCCTAAGAAGCATCTATGAAAGAAACTAGTAGAAACAAACCGATTGAAAGACCTAAGGCCCAATCAACGGCGGATCTGTGGAAGCTTCCGGCCATCGGTCGAGAATCCGGTGAGAATGCCGATTATCCCCTTTTTCTTATGCGGCTAGACCTAATCGCCCATACGGGTTTCGGGAAAGAGAGGAAAATGAGTTACCAC